TGCAGGGGCCGTGAGAGGATTCAAATTGGGGAGCAGAACAGGTCAATCGTCGAAGTACACTGCTGAAGGGAGCAGTGGGCAGGTCAGGAGAGGTCCGCAGCCATGTAAATCACCTCCGGGGTGGGGTTCGAATTCATGCTGAAATGGCTTTAGCTTCTTTAGTGTTGTGCTTTAACTTGCTGCACCACCAAGGAGGGTCCCTTTCTTTCTTTTGGGGTTGATAACTCCACTGAAGTTCTGCCAGTCAAAGACAAGTATGTAGCTAGAAAAAAAAATTGGTGTATTTAACTTGCTGCAGCAAGAAGAACCACATTCTTTAGGACTCAGTAAAAGTGACTGAAAGGGGTTTATGGGATTTGTGCTTGTGCTGGGTGACTTAAATATGGATAGGGAAGCAGGGACCAGTTTTGGACTGGAAACTGTCGAAGAGTGGGAGTATTAAATCATTGGGGTATCTTAGGAAGGAGGTGGTGGGAGGAATGAGGATGGCATTATTGAGAAAGCAAAGCTATATAATTTTAAGAGTTTTTTATAGAAATATTGTTTACATGGTCATGTCCCTGTGTTGTTGGAAACATTACTCAGATTGTTAATACCAACAGAGTTGATCTTTTTCTCACTTATCCTTTGAATCAGATCTTGGTATAAAGGTTGGTGGACCCATTCTGAACATGATTGTGTATTTCTTTCCCAGTATTGCTTGTAAGTGAAAAATTTTTGATCTGCTGTTTATTTGCTTTTTGTCTCCTTTATTAGAATGAAAATCCATGAGAACAGGAACCACATTTCTCCCAAGTGCTACAAGTAGGGTTAGCACATCATAGATCCCTAGTAAAGACATATGCATGATTAAATGAATGGATAAAAGAAAATTTAGGGTTAGTAGTCTAAGACTGCATTAGCAGGCAGAACATATTCACAAAGCTGATATTAGTGTGACCTTATGTATTAATGCATAGAACAGGACCTCCACTAACTCCCATGATTTTTAATCATTAAAAAAAAATTAAATATTTTAAAAAATATTTAAATGTTTTAAATATTAAGATATTAAATATTTTAAAAATATTTTTAAAATATTAAATATTTTAAAAAATATATATATTTAAATAACCCACGTTTTGTGGGTTTCAGGTACATGATTTCTCACCTCAGCAACTCTGTATCTCACACTACAACCAAATATCCAGTCATTATTCATCACCAATCAGTCTGCCTTACCTTGTTCCCTCCTTCTTCCCTCCATTCCCTCCGGTGACTGCCATTCTATTGTTTTTTAATAATGCTTCTAAATTTTAAAATGCAGGAAGAAAAAATCAAATTAGATATACTTAATACTTTTTGTATTGGTTGATACATACTTGATTATATATAACACATGTAAGTTGCGAAATGTAATTATCAAATGTTTCTCATGTATAACCTAAAATTGTCTGTCATTGGAATCTTAATTTGCATTTCACTTATAAATTAAATTGAGCAGTTTTTCATGTTTATTGCCACTCGTGTGTGTGTGTTTTTTTAAGATTTATTTATTTATACATATAAGAGCTAGGGTATAGGCCAGAGTTATGGAGGTTGAAAGGATTCACCAGAGACAATGGGGAGCAGAACAAGTGGATTTGTTGAAGTACACTGCTGAGGGGAGCAGTGGGCTGGTCAGGAGAGGTCTGCTGTGCTGTGTGGGTCAGCTCCCTTGCCAGGGAATGAATTTGTGCTGTAGTGGCTGTGGATAGCTTCATATTGCTGCACTTTAACCCCTGGTGCCAACCACGGAGGACCCCATTTGTGTCTCTTTGTGAAACTCCTTTTCATACTATTTACTTATTTTTCTGTTTTTTGTTTTTTTCTTTTTGTTATATACACATATTCAGTGCATAGAAATTCGTTATCTGTTGCAAATATCTTTACATTTTGGTTTTTAAAAAAATGTCATTTGGAGACCTCCCTTGTGGCACAAGGGGTTAAGTCTCAGCCCTTTGAGGTTACAGGAAGCCACTGTAGCAGGGTTAGTTAGAACCCAGGCCAAAAAGCTGACCCATAAGGTGTAGCAGACCTCTCCTGTCTTGCCTACTGCTCCCCTCAGCACTGTATTTCAGTCAGTCTACTTGTTCTGTTCCCCACTCTGTCTCTGGTGAATCCTCTCACCCCCTACCCACCCACTTCTGGTCTGTACCCCAGTTCTTGTTATGTATAAATAAATAAATCTTTTTTTTATTACAAAAGTTTATTTTTACATCGTTTTGTACATTTTTTTTTCCATCTCAGTTGTAATCCCCGCGGGTTTCCCATCACCAAGTCACCCATGTGCCATCACCATAATCCCGTGCATTTCCCTCCCCCCACCCCGTTTTTGACCCCATTCCCCACTCCACCCCCACAAAAAGTCTCTGGTATATGGCTGTTCATTATTTTTGTTATTTTCCACCTGGTCCATTATACTCCTGCTATGAGTGAAACCATCCAGTATTTTTCTTTCTCTTTCTGGCTTATCTCATTAAGCATGATCTTTTCCAGCTCCATCCAAGTTGCTGCAAAAGACATGTGTTTCTCTTTTTTGGTTGCTGAGTAATATTCCATTGTATATATGTACCACATCTTTTTTATCCAGTCATCTACTTTTGGGCATTTGGGCTGCTTTCATGTTTTTCCAATTGTAAATAAAGCAGCAATAAACATGGGGGTACAAGTATCTTTTTCAATCAGTGTTTTGTGTCTTTTGGGTAGATACCTAGGAGTGGGATTGCTGGGTCATAGGGAAGCTCCATGTTTAGCAGTTTGAGGAACCTCCAAACAGTTTTCCATAGTGGTTGTACTAGTTTGCATTCCTACCAGCAGTGCAGAAGAGTTCCTTTTTCACCACATCCTCGCCAACATTTGTTGTTGCTAGTTTTTGAAGATGTGCCATTCTCACTGGGGTGAGGTGGTATCTCATTGTGGTTTTAATTTGCATCTCCCTTATTACGAGTGATGTTGAACATTTTTTCATATGCTTGTTGGCTATCTGCGTTTCCTCTTTGGAGAAGTAAGTGTCTTTTTAGCTCTACTGCCCAATAAATAAATCTTTGAAAAATGTCATTGGCATGCAGAAGTTTTTAATTTGATGTTGCATGCATTAATCATTTAATTAATCAACGCTGTATTTATTGAAAAAAATTGCCTTCTAGCCTGGAATCATGACAGTATCTTAAAACTTAGAGGTTTATCTTTCATATTTAAGTCTGCTTGATCTGGAGTTGACTTTTATGTATGATATTGTATGTGGAAGGAGTTTAACATGAATAGTCAGTTTTTCCAGTATCCCTTATATGTCTAATATTTATTTTTATCTGCAGTTACAAGAACATAGGAGATATGTCATAATATTTCCTTGTTTTTGAACATTTACTATTTCTCTCTTCTAGGTTCTTTTTGTAATTTTGAGTAAACTTCCAGGAGGACTATGAAAGATTATGATGAACTTCTCAAATATTATGAATTATATGAAACTATTGGGACAGGTAATTGTTATTTTTTCTTGGAGGCAGAGGATAGATCAACTATTTGGGCTGTCATGAGTTTTTAAATCTAACCTGTGTAGTTTCAAATTCTTCAAATTGCTCTAGTAGTAAAAAAAGACAGAGAAGAGAGGAAGAGGAGACTTGCAAGTCATTTTATTTAGAATGAAAATCACTGGAGAATTTTGAGCTAAGGAGTGACTTAACCGTTGTTTTTAAGTGTCACTCTGTGTAGTGAAAAGATTGGGTGGGGAGGGCAAAGGTAAAAGCAGTAAAGTATTTGGAGGTGATTGCTGTCATTCCAGGTGAGTGATGCTGGAGATGATGACTTGGACAAGGGTGATAGTAGTGAAGGTATGAAAGGGGTGGAATTCTGTAGATGATGTGTGTGTGTGTGTGTGTGTGTGTTCATTTATTAGGTAGAACACAGCTAAATAAGCAAAGGTCTTGAGTATCAGTGTAATTTTATTTTGCATGCCTCCATGTTCTGTTGCTGAGACCAAGCAGAACATTTCTAGTCACTTTCCCCGAGGGTAACCATGACATATTTTGAAGATACAGCTGAAGGGATTGTTGATGGTTTGATATAGAGTATAGGGCAAAATAAGAAGGCTAAGGACTCAAAGGTTTTGGCCAGGTTAGGTACTAGAGTTGCCATTTACTGACCATGGGAGGGTTTCCAGCAACTTGTTTTTAGAAATGTTAGAGAAATTTTTTTGTAAGATACCTAAGTGTGCACAATTATTCAACTTTTGCTCCAGTTTTGATACATAGTTGGTTGATGTCATAGTTTTAAAACTGAAGGGAAACTTGATTTCTCTTTTGTTGCAGCAATTTTATAATGTGTTTTAGCTTAATTGCAATATTAATTGTAAAGCATATATCTAAATTTGAATTCTGTTTTCTTCTTCATTATGAAATTAGAGCTATACTATCATAATAATAAAAAACCTTCAGCTAAACTTTGGATGAGGAACGATTAGGGGTCATCACTAGTAATTTTCAAGCAATAGGAAGAAAGAACAAAAAACTTCCAGAAAAATATGCAATTATATAATGAGCCTTAAAATTCATATGGGAAGGATTTGTGCCTATCTCTTCATTTTGCTGATGATGATATTTAGGTTATTCTTACTTATCTCTTTATAATACATTTTCCTATTATTAGGTGGCTTCGCAAAGGTCAAACTTGCCTGTCATATCCTCACTGGAGAAATGGTAGCAATAAAAATCATGGATAAAAATGCTCTAGGGGTAAGTTTACAAGTATTTAAAAAATATCTATAGATCAATTTTGTGAATTAAAACTCCAGTAATGTTCCAGTTATTTTGCTTTTATTATAATATTATTTAAAAATTGGCAGTGACTGGCAGTAAATCTGTGGTTTTAAAGAAGTAATCTGGGGAAGGAGATGCTTTGTCTTTAATGTAAAGCTATGGCACATATTTGAAGGCTGTAAGATCCATTTTTCTGTAGTTTCATAATCTTGTAGGTATTTCTGGGTTTTATTATCATCCTATATGTTTTCATGATACACATGCTAACTGGTTGATCTCTTTTGCAGTATTGTATTAGTAGGTAGACAGAAATATCTTATGTGCCAGAATTTTACTGAAAGTAACCTTAGACGTTACCCAGTGAACTCCTTTACTTAATTAGACTCACTTTCCTTTATGTGAATGCTTCAAGGTTGAATAGCTTATTACCTCCCAAAGCAGTCTATTCAATTTGTGGCTTTGACTGTAATGTACATAAAGTTTTTCTTTTTATTTGAGGGAAGACCTGTCTCATTTGATGGTCCTTCTGGGACTTCAGTTCCTTCCCAGTGTTTGAAAATGACTTTGTGTTGTCTTTTTTCTAATTCTTACTATCACTTCTCATGTGGTTTGGTTCCTATGCTTTACTTTTTCTGGTCTTTCTTATTTCATATTGACAATTAATAGCCTCTCAGTAAGTGTCTATTTCCTTTTTGAAGATAAATTTAGAAAATCCTTTTTTCCACTGACCAAAAATTTCTGTGTTAAAAAAATGTTTTTTTGAACTGATTGAGTTAACATTATTAGTAATATATAATTGAGTGAAACAGCACAAACATTTTTAAAGATGTTGGTAATTATCAAGAATAAAAAACAGCAAGTTACTGAAAATGCATTTTTAAATTAGACACCTTGAGCTTTTTTGATTTTCCTTATTACTGGGATGAGACAGTTTGACCTCAGTAGTTACTTTATTTTTTTTTTATTTGCTTAAAATTTATTTATTTAAGCATATAGAACTGGAATACAGGACAGAGGTGCAGGGGGTGAGAGGATTCACCAGAGACGGAGTGGGAAGCAGAACAGGCAGATGGACTGAAATACACTGCTGAGGGGAGCAGGGGATGAGCCAGGAGAGGTCTGCCACGCCATATATATCACCCCCCTCACCCCACCCCCCACCAGGAGCCAAACTTGTGCTGCAGTAGCTGCTATAGCTTCATTTGCTTTAACCTGTTGTGCCACCAGGGAGGGCCCTTATTTATTTTTTATTTTTAAGGATATAGCTACAGATTAACATACATAAAAAAGTCAAAGGAAATATAAGGAGTTTGTTATATCACCCAAGTCTTTCAACTTTTTCTAACATATCTGTCAAAATCACTCAGTTATCTACAAGAAGCTGTTTTAAGTAATCAGCTGACAGTTTATTATTTTTTTACTAATTTACTTATGTATATTTTACATCATTGTTATCTTCTTTTAAAAATTTATTTATTTTTTGTGCGGAATAATTGGGGTGTAGGCCAGACATGTGGGGGTGTGAGAAGATTCACCAGAGACAGAGTGGGGAGCAGAAAGAATGGGGAGCATCCATGTTGCTCGAAATGGCATGAGTTTATCTTTTTTGATTGTGAAATAATATTCATTTGTTTATATGTACTACATCTTCTTGATCCAGTTATACATTTTTAGGCATTTAGGTTGTTTCATATCTTCCTAATATAAATAGTGCTGCAGTAAACATAGGGGTGCAGGTGTCCTTTTGTATTGATGTTTTTGTGTTCTTTGGGTAGATTCCTAGGAGTGGAATTGTATCAGCTGACAATTTAGACTTACATACATTCAATATATTTCTTTTCAGGACTCAATAGTAAAAGGCATTATACCATTTATTTATTTTTGAGCATATAATCATTGCTCAGAACTTTGATAAATTACCTTAAACAATTTATACTTCTGTTGCAACTTTAATATGACTTATTCACTTGATCACTTCATTTAAATAGCAAGCAAAATATAAACTATTATCACAAAATATATCACTATACTGATACTCAGAATTTATTTTAAAAACATCAATATCAGTTCATTAACTCATTTCTAAGATTTTAAAATTTTCTTGTTTTAATTTCTTTTTGTTAAGTATAATTGATGTGTAATATTAATTTTAGGTATCTACCATAATGATTTAATATTTGTATACATTGTAAAATGGTTATCATAATAAGTCTGGTTAACTTCTATCACCTAGCATAGTTACATAATTTTTTCTTGTGATAGCCATTAGATTTACTCTTTTAAGCAGCCTTAATATAGCAATATAGTGTTACTAACTTTCATATAGCAATATAGTGTTACTAACTATAGTTAATATAGTATTTTATTGTCTAATATAGTATTGCTATTATGTTTATTTTAGTTCCAAGGATTTTAATATTTTGATTACTTCCAGGGTTGTATTCATCAGATTCCCACTCACCCCCCAAAAGGAAGTAAACAAGATTATCATATCAAAAGAGTCAAAGTTACCATTGATTCTAGGTCAGGTCAGGACCTGATAGCTGGTTGCATGGTCTTATATAACTTGGATCTTAAATCACTGATCCAAGTTATATAAGACCATGTAACCAGCTATCAGATTGAATCTTTTTTTATTAAGAAAGTTTTTTTTTTTATTTTGTAGCTTTCTAGATTTCTATCTTTAATATGGACACATTATTTTCAACTTGGCTTAGCCTCCTTCCCAACCACTTTTATTTTGAAAAGCTGCATGCTACTAGAAAAGAGTAAGAGTGAATACCTGCATACATTTCCCTTACATTTTCCAGTTTTTAGCTCAACATGTTGCTAAGAGGCATTGCTAAACCCAAGTTGTAGCCCAGGCATGCACACTGAGTAGTGTTTCTGCCATTTCCCTGTGTGGAATGCTGATCTTCTTAAAGAAGCCTGAGATTGTTTTAATTTTTTTGGATGTTATATTGTTGTCCCACTTTGAACTTGTCTTTCATGAAATCCTCAAGGCCTTATTTTAAATGTACATACAAATAAGTTTTATTGTGAATTTTTCTATAGAATAATTTGTTTTGAGGCTGTGGATAGCTTTTGCTACTCAGTGTTAAAGCTGTTGACATTGATGCTTGGAACATTTCCCAAATAGGCTTACTGTTCATTCAATATAATGTTTGGTCACAGAGTGATTTGCCCCGGATCAAAACAGAGATTGATGCCTTAAAGAACCTGAGACATCAACATATATGTCAACTCTACCATGTGCTTGAGACAACCAACAAAATATTCCTGGTTCTGGAGGTTAGTAGCATGTTCTAGAAACCAGAAAGTATTTGGTCACTGTCTTAGTCCACTTGCATAGCTATTAGAATTCCACAGAATGGGTAACTTATGAACAACAGACTTTTTTCTCACAGTTTTGGATGCAAGAAATACAACATGGAGGTACCAGTATGGTACCTATGAGGGTCCTCTCCCTAGTTTTTAACTGCTGCTTTCTGAGAGTGGCCTCACATGATGGAAGGGCAAGAGATCTCTCTGGAGCCTTTTTTGTTAGAGCACTAACTTCATTCATTGGAATTCTGTCCTAATATCCTAATTCCTTCGCAAAGGTGCCACCCCCTAATATCATCTCTGAGGGTTAGTATTTCAATTTGATTTGAGTGGCCACAAACATTTGCATCATAGCAGTCACTTTATCAGTAGTTAAGAGAAAGTATATTTGACCTGAAAGATTAGAACTAATGTTAAATGGCTTACCTGTTCAAATTTTGTCGTTAATAGCAAAAACATGTAACATGCAGTGTTGCTGCAGGAATGATCTTGAATATACTTTGTTTTTGATGTGGGATATATCTGTAGGAACAAGTCCTAAGTGTGGAACTCAATATATATACATATATTGGGCATATGTATGTATATGTATACATTTGTAATTTTTAAAAAAGATTTATTTGTGCCTATAGGATCTGGGGTACAGGAAAGAGTTGGAGGTGGGGGGGAGTGAGAGGATTCTCTAGAGATGGTGGGGAGCAGAACAGGCAGATGTACTGAAATAAATTGCTGAAGGGAGCAGTAGAAGAGAGAAGTCTGCCACACATGTGTGTCACCTCCCTGGCTGCGGATTGAACTCATGCTGCAGTGGCTAGGGATAGCTTCATAGTGCTTGTGCTTTAACCAGTTGTGCCACCAGAGAGGGCCCAGTACATTTATAATTTTAACTGATATTGGTAAAGTGAAATGAAATTTTAGCTGAAACTCTAGTTTACAAAGAAGTGGAGCTGTTTTGGAGAAGGAGGGATGGAAAGCCCAGGGTTTATGCTCCAGCACCCATTCTCCTGCAGCCTCTGTTAAAACTGGGCTTCTTCTGGTACAGATTGAAAGCCCTTGGTCTTCTGTATGGAAAAGTAAAAATTGCTGCTGGGTTTGTTTCCTGCTACTACAATCAATGTGAGCACATTTAGAGAAGAAAGCACTTTAATACATTGCTCAAAAATATAGAGTCCTTAAAAATCATAGTGGTAGTCGATTCTTCTACTTACTGCTGATAAAACTGCTTGAGACTAGGCGTTGTCCTTTTTCAGAGAGTACTTGTTGCCTTTTTGACCTTCAGAGTGTATTGTTGAATATGCCTTGCTGATTTCCAGGTCTGTAAGTTGAATGAAAATTCCTTGAGTTAAATGCAGGTGTTTTTTTAAATGGCCTGGGAGCAATTTTTTTTAAAAGTAGTAATATCTGTATGACTCTTGCTGCTGAAGTACTGCCCTGGAGGGGAGCTGTTTGACTACATAATCTCCCAGGACCGCTTGTCAGAGGAGGAGACCCGTGTCGTCTTCCGTCAGATAGTATCGGCGGTTGCTTACGTGCACAGCCAGGGCTATGCTCACCGGGACCTCAAACCAGTAAGTGACTGTGTCTCGGTTACATGCTCACCCAAGAATTCAACATCGTTACTTGTTATTTTCAGCTTTCCAGATGTTCTTTCTGTTTAAAATCTATCTTGGCTTTGCTTCTTTCTCTCTGTCTCTCTTTTTTTTTTTTTTTCCGGTACCACTAGGAATGTGACCTTTCGGCTTCTGGTAGGCTTTTTGAGATGACTTCATGTTAGTATTCTGTTTATTGGTCATCTATGTGTGACGTTATAAATGTCTTTGTAATCAGCTGTGGAATATTAGCCTGAGGATTTTATCTCTAGGAAAGAAGAGTATAGGATGTTTTCTTTGAGAATGTTGTCATTGCATATTTTCCACTTCGTACTATTTTCCTAACTACACTTTCCCTGAATTTTAATTGCATTATGCCTCAGAAAGGAACTGTTGGATGGAACGAACAGTTATTTTATGAGGACAAAATGAAAATAGGAATACTCTTAAGTCTGCTTTGACTAATATGCACACCATGGATGATGGTGAATGTGGTCAGGGACCTAGAATTGATCTGACAAGACAAGGCAGTATTACTGTCCCATTCTCTGTAGTCAGCTCTTTGATTTGACCTCACTCTTGATTTTAACTTGCCTTTGCTATAAATTGTGCTGGCTTGCAATTGAGCCTCAGAGCACCAACGAGAAAATGATTTATGCCAATATATCTTGAGGGGAATAGGTGCAATAATCAACATTCTAGACTTGTTTTTTAGTCTGTTAAAATGCCTTCACTTTATACCTGTACTCACGCCTTTTAAAATAAACAATCCTACACAGCTTTTAGATATGGCTAGAGGTGGGATGTGATATAAAGAAGTTAATATGTAGTTATGAAACTCTCTGTTTTTCCAGGAAAATTTGTTGTTTGATGAATATCATAAAGTAAAACTGATTGACTTTGGTCTCTGCGGGAAACCCAAGGTAAGTATAGGAGTAGAATTACATTTATTTCCTTCATAAGTATACCTTTTAATGTGTTACCTTACTGCTAACTTCTACTTAATCTATTGAGCTTCATTACATCTGTAGAGAAGAATGTTACATTTCATCCCTTTCTAAGTTCCCTAAACGATTCTAATTTATAGCAAGATTTCGAACCACTGCAGTGGGTTCTGTTGAAGACTCCCTGGATGTGCTGTGTGAGACTGGTGCTGAGCGACTGAGGTCATGGCAGCACGAACTGACCATATGTTTGCAGTTTGCCTGCATTGCCATTAAACAGTGTCTTTGTTTAACTAGGTATGAGTTTTGAGAATTTAGTGCCAATCCTTTATTTAGTTTTCTTTCCCCAAATCTCTTGTTATTAAAATAGTTCTTAACAAGTTCCAGTTTGAGAGACAGCCCCCTTTTTTCATAGAAGGAAAGAGTCCGCATGCACTTTAAATTTTGTGTTATATATATTTTTTAATATGCATCTCTTAGTTAAGTATTCTTGTTCTCCCATGTATCTTTTCTTTGTGGTGACTTTGAACTTTTCAGCTCTGCAGAGTTCCTATGTGGCTGTTGTAGGCTTCCTCCTGAGTTTGCTAATGATGGAGTTTACAGTCTCTAAAATAAGCTGTCTACACGCATTAAGAATGCTGAAATTGCAGAGTTGTCTCTGTCTTTCATAGTCCCATGATTATTTCCTGCACCAGGTAGAAAGAGCTAGTTGGAAAGGGAAGCAGATTTTAGCCCCTTTGGCTGAATATTCTTTCTGATTTTCCTTTTCTCCTCTTGCCTCTTCAGAAATTGTCATTGGAGACTTGTGTTTGGGTAGGCTTTTTTTTTTTTTTTTTGATAAGCAGGCATATAAAGATAATACATACTTTGAACACATAAACCAGTATGCATCATGTTCTCTGCAGGAGGTAGAGAAGAATGTTTGACAGACTCCATTAGCTTTTACTTATGGCTAATGGACTTGATCCACACAGACCCCATCTAAAAAAGCAGGGATAGCTAAGAGAGAATTGCTTCAGCTTTTTCCTGAGGATCTCACTTCTGGGCAAGTTGTTACAGTTGTAAATGAAATCTCACAATTTCACAAGTCCTTTGCTGCTGTAGAATTCAAAGTGTTGGGCAATAGTACAATTTTCATTACCGGTATTTTTATGGAAGGTCAGAGAAGGATTAGCAAATTCCTGTTTCAACATATATAGAAGCTGAAATCATGTTTGTCTAGAAAACAGATTCCCCAGCCTTGTTTTATGTCCATTACTGCTTCCTTTCCTCTAAGGGGGTAAAGATTTGATATTGGAGATAGTGCTCAGTAAAGAACTAATTGCTTTTAACTTGGATACTTAGGTGTGAGAAGACATGGGTGCTTTGATGTATGCTGAGTATTATGCTGAGATGTCTAGAGAAGTATGAACCCGACGTGACTGAGTTAAGGGGGAAGGGTTTTGTTTGTGTCAGGTTGTATTAGTATTGGAAATCCATGGGTGAGGAAACCATACGTGCACGTTGGCAGCGTATTGAGTTGGCTGCAGAAGTCTCTTACTTGGGCTAATTCTTCATCTGCTTTCTCATTGCTTTTGCTGAAATAAGCTTTATCAAGGCTTAATTCTCTTAAGGGCTATAATAGTGTTCCATTTTTATCTTTTGGCAGAGTAACAAGGATTACCATCTACAGACATGCTGTGGAAGTCTGGCTTATGCAGCACCTGAATTAATACAAGGCAAATCATATCTTGGATCAGAGGTAATTTATTCATTGATTAATTCACTATGTAATTAACACAACTTTATTGGTGACCTGTGAGTCAGACACTGTGCAGTGGGGATATAATGATGAGGTCCAGGCTCTTGGCAAAAGGAGATGCCCTGGTGACAATGTGAATTACAGACTTATCTGCATTTTTTACTATTTACTTAAATGATCTATCAACTTTGCACAAACTGAGAATGAATTCCATGAGCCTGTTCTCAAAATGTGGACATAGACAAACGTTTGCTCGTGTTTAAAGTAGTTCTCCTGCACACTTGTTAACAAGTCCTATTTGCTTCCATACTTTTTTGTTCATAAGTCAAGTGGACAAGTGACTACTACCAAGAGGGATTGTCTGGTGCTCCTGATTCTTAGCTGCTGTTTCTCTCTGGTTTTGTTCATCTTGCTTTTTATTATATCAGTTGTTTCTAATTTTGGCAGACAGGGAAACTCTTCCACTGAACTGTTTAAAAACAAGACAGTCTTTTGTGTTAAAATTACTTGCAGTAACAAAAAAAAAAAAAAAAAAGTTGAGGTAAGAAACAATCTTACTAATCAAGGTCTATTCAGAGGGTGATATATATAAATGAATAAATGCAGTGAGTAATCTGTAGCAAATGGAATAATACGCCATGCACTTTTGAAGCAGGATTATATTCCTGGTGTCTTTATGGTAGTCTTTATGTTTAACAATGTCATAGTTTTGACTGTTTAATCCAGCTGTGTAGAGCACAAAACCAGGGTTGCAAGCTCAGTTTTCACAGATGCTGGTTAGCACAAAGAGAGCTTGTACTCTGTCTATTGCTAACTTTCTGAGGCTGGGAGTCCTGTATGGACTCCCAGGCTCACAGGCCTGGACACTGAATACTTTACCATTTGCTGCCTTAAGTTTGTCAACCTTTCACATTCTCTAGGGTACTAATTTTGCTAATTCTAGTATCTTAAGCGAAGTGAGGATCATAGCCCAAGTTATAGGTTAGTATTTGACATCTCTAATGCATAAATGTTGATTTCTGACTTCCTGCAAAGAAACTTCAGGTGTTTGCTTGGAAGTAAATTCTTTACCTTGGCATCATAATGGAGTCCTAATAATTGGGCTGATTTGGTAGAGAGGACTAGGAGTTAGATTTGGTTTATTGTACCTAGACGTAAGCAGGTATGACCTAGATGTGTAATGCTGCTCAAGTTAGTTTAGCAGTTTCTTCCCTCCTGCCCCTCTCCTCAGTTTTTTATAAAAATGATGCTGCCCTATTTATCTCTCAAAATTTTCCTTAGGTTCAAATGTGGATGGGAGCTGTGACTTCTCCAAAGTCAATAGTGACATCATTATTGATTAAGGCCAACTATTGCTTGCATAAATAGTGTTCTGGACCTTTGGGACAATGATATGTAAAGGTTAAGCCTTCTGGGATTTTGAGATTTGCAGGGCTATTTGTGCTGGCAGGCTAAATTTTAGCCTCTGTGTTTGAAAAGTCAATTGTTGAACTGTATTAAGGTTTCTTTACATAGAGGACTTTACAATGCCGCTTAGTCACATGTGCAGATAATCAGTAGTAATTTTAAGACTTGTTTTGGCATTCTCATGCATGTTTACATAATCCTCAGTAGCACTGTAGAATTAATTGTCTTTCAGAATCAGAGACTGACCTCATCTTCTGTATCATGCCTAGTTCAGCCCAGCCCACAGGAAATTGTTAAGCCTATGAGCAGGGTGCACTGAACTGGCCATTAGAAGACTTTCTATTGGCTGGGTGACTTTGGGCAAGCTTTCCTTTTTTGGCTTTTTCCTTGCTTTTAATTGGCCGGTTTAACTTGATTGTTTTTTGGTTTTTTTGCCGGTTTTTTTAGGTTTTTTTGTTTTTATTTGTTTTGTTTTTTTTCTGTATTTTTTTTGTTCTATTTTTTTTGTGCTCCCCCCCCTTCTTAGGCAGATGTTTGGAGCATGGGCATACTGCTATATGTACTGATGTGTGGCTTTCTACCATTTGATGATGATAATGTCATGAATTTGTACAAGAAGATTATGGTGAGTATTAGAAGGTATAGAATTTCAGTGTAGAAGTTATTTGTACTACTTATTTATGTCTTTTTATAAAAGTACAAAATCAGGATAAAGTCATTATTGCTGTTAAATGTCAGGATGGGTTGTGACTAAAATAGGGACATGTAGGTTTCTGGGTCCTAGTTATATATTCAGTTTTTGAAAACTTCATTGGGGTCTAACTTTCTGATTTGTCTATTTTTCTGTGCGTAGAGTAAGTCCTCAAGGTCATCAGCAGATGCTTATAGTACTCCTTACTGTGATTTTTCTCATACTGTAAAGTCTCTAAATTTTAAAAAGCAGTTTGTCTTACCTTAAGTCAACAGGAAAATGTGATTTGCTCCAGCAACTCACTAAGTTATTTCATAATACAATAAAAAGCTCCTACCAAGAAAATCATCTTGAGTGTTTGATTTCCCTTTTCTTAAACTTTTTATTGAAGAAGAATAATATATAAAAGGTCGTTGGATAACATTTCATTTATTCAAGAACTGCTTAAAGTTGTTTCTAAAAATCTTCAATTACTCTGGCAGGAGGACTGGAATTACATAGTGGTAAGCTGTTTTTATTTTTTAATAAATAACTAGTTACCCTCACATATGTAACTAGCTAATTTTATAAAAAAAAAACTAATTTGGTTGTTATTTTGATTGTGTCAGTAATAATTATTTAACAACCCCTCAGTATTATTGAATTGAAATGATAATTTTAGCAATATGCAGAAATACATATTTACACACTTCTTTTTCTGAATCCTTTATTTCATTGCATTTTGTTTGTTTTTTTCTGTATGATATCAGTGTCTGATAGAATTGACCTCTTTTAATTATTCTGTTTCCTCTAGAATTTTCTGAGCTATCCTGCTATGATTACTTTTCCTTGGTATATTTTTTAATTTTATTAACATAATTTATTTATATATATATATTTTTTACAGTATTATTCATTTTTGAGCAATGTATGCTTTCTTCTCTCAAGTGTAGTCTCTATAAAATTCCCACTGCAAGTCACCATTGCCATAGTCCCTTGTGTTCTTCCCTCCCCTGACCTTATGCCTCCCCCTCACATTCCCCCCAGAATGTCTCTGATTTATAGTTGCTTGTTAATTTGTTGTTGTTGTTATTATTTTTCCTCCTGATCCTTTATTTGGCCCCCCTATATTGTTCCTGTTGATGAAACCATCTGATATTTTTCTTTTTCCTTCTGCTTATAGCACTGAGCATGATCCCTTCTGATCCATCTATGTTGCTGTAAATGGCATGAGTTTATCTTTTTGACCACTGAGTAGTATTCCATTGTGTATATGCACCACATCTTCTTGATCCAGTCACCTATTTTTAGGCATTTGGACTGTTTTCATATCTTCCTAGTTTAAGTAGTGCTGCAGTAAAAATAGTGGTGCAGGCTGCTGGTGGGAATGCAAACTAGTACAACCACTATAGAAAACTGTTTGGAGGCTCCTCAAATTGCTAAACATGGAGTTTCCCTACGACCCAGTAATCCCACTCCTAGGTATCTACCCAAAAGACACAAAAATACTGATTGAAAAAGATACCTGTACCCCCATGTTTATTGCTGCTTTATTTACAATTGGAAAAACATGAAAGCAGCCCAAATGCCCAAAAGTAGATGACTGGATAAAAAAGATGTGGTACATATATACAATGGAATATTACTCAGCAACCAAAAAAGAGAAACACATGTCTTTTGCAGCAACTTGGATGGAGCTGGAAAAGATCATGCTTAATGAGATAAGCCAGAAAGAGAAAGAAAAATACTGGATGGTTTCACTCATAGCAGGAGTATAATGGATCAGGTGGAAAATAACAAAAATAATGGACAACCATATACCAGAGACTTTTTGTGGGGGTGGAGTGGGGAATGGGGTCAAAAACGGGGTGGGGGGAGGGAAATGCACGGGATTATGGTGATGGCACATGGGTGACTTGGTGATGGGAAACCTGCGGGGATTACAATTGAGATGGAAAAAAAAATGTACAAAATGATGTAAAAATAAACTTTTATAATAAAAAAAAATAGTGGTGCAGGTATCCTTTTGAATTAATGATTTTGTGACCTTTGGGTAGATTCCTAGGAGGGGAATTGCTGAGTCATATGGTAGCTCCATTTTTAGTAATTTGAAGAACCTCCACACAATTTTCCATAGTGGTTGGACTAGGAGAGTTCCTTTTTGGTCACATACTTGCCAACATTTGTTGGTGCTAGTTTTTTTAATACATGCCATTCTTGCTGGTATAAGGTGGTATCTCATTGTGGTTTTGATTTTAATTTCCCTGATTATGAGGGATGTTGAACATTTTTTTTCATATGGCTGTTGGCCAATGGATTCATAATTGGATGGAATAAAGTTCATTCCAATTTCAAAAGGATTGTTGGTAAGCATATCTTTGGTGTTACTAATGGTGAAAGAGTTAGTCAGAACTGTAGACCTGGCCTTGGGTCTTCTGGGTTGTATGAAATTCTAAACCATCTGTATCTCAATAGCATAAACATGCAGTTCTGTTTACTGTTTTACCATTTTTAAATTTCTTAATTTTTTGTGTTTATGCTTTTTTTGTTGTTGTTACTGTAAATTCACAATCATACAGCAGAAATTGATTTAACACTTTTAATGGTTAATAATAGTATTGTTTTATCAATGCAAAATGAATATATCATATAAAAACTTAAGCATGCTTCATTTAAAATTTTTTTCTTTATTAATTTTTAAAAGATACATTGGGTACATGAGTTTGTTGGGATCCTGGATTAATACTTGAGGGGGTGGTGGCAGGAATTACCTTAAAATAATGTAAAAGTGTTAGATATAGTGGATGCTAGATTCAAGTGTTGATATTTTTGATAGATCACATATTTTTAACAGTGGAATAAATATGGTATAAAGTGTCTAGTTCTTGTTCAGTAGAGATTTAGCCTTCCTAATTAATATTATTTACTAACACTGTGTATTCTTTGTTTCTTCTACTCTGAATTTCATTTTTTAGTTTTTCATGTATTTGCAAGTTGAAAATTGATTCAAATTAGGACTTTTATGCATTATTGTGGAATTTAATTTCACACATTATAGATTTTGAAATTTATTGTAATCTTGGCTCAGAACTATTGTTCCGAGTCGCAGTGTAATACAGTCTGTTGGTTGAATCTAATTAAGGTGTCGTATCACTTGCATGCAGTATGTATCTTTGCCTAGAATGTTCTAAAATTCCTCACTTGGGAATAACACTTCCCTCAGTTCTTCTTGATTTGATTGAAAAACCTAGCAATATTTGACACACTGTATGTAACTCTTGTTTAAGAAGCAGACTTCATTTATCTTTTGCATTTGTTGACTATTTTAACCAAAATGCTCAGCTGCAGTCTCCAGCATGATTACTAATAGACTGAGCATTAGTCTTATTAATGTCACCTGTATTCATTTGCCATCATTGCACTCAAAGACAAGCATGACTGTACTCCAGTTCTGAGTACACAAACATTAGGGAAGTATAAATAAATTGATAACTGAAAGTTAAGTAGCTTGAAAGTAAAATTCCTTTCTAACAAGTACGATTTATAACTTTAAAGAAAATGAACAAATTATTTCTTTATAAGATATTTTACATACATAGAATTGACTATGGTACAATGATCCTGTGTTGGAGCGATCACCTGTCTATCTTATTTCACCTTGTGAAAAATAAAATTTCAAGTCCGCTAGAATTTGCAGGACTATCTTGCTTTTAACCCCCATATCTTTTTTCCACTCTTACTTGCTTTCTCCTTCTATTATCAATTTCCAGCTCTCATTTGCAATGTAATTATCACTTAATAAACAAGAATGGGCCAAAGCCTGAGCAGAAACCAGGATTAAGGAGCACAGTTGTGGTGGATATAGGGCATTTTGCAGAGATGAGTTTGCCAGCAGGATTCTCTCTCTCTCAGCTCTTTTCTGTTTGGTCCTTTGACATATGCTTTAATATTTTAATAAGGAGCCTGTCTCACTGTCTATTTTGTAGGTCTCCTTAACTCTTCCATCATAGTGCCACAGAAATAGAACTGTCTCTCTCTTTTAACCTTATCTCTACCCTGTTTTACTTTATAATGGTATTTCTCAACTTCAGCACTATTGACATTTTGGACAAAATAATACTCTATTTTGGGGGGCTGTCCTGTGCCTTGTTTAACAGCATTTCTGGCCTGAACTTTGGTCAAGACAATGAAAAATGTGTCTGGTTGCTAAAAGAGTAGTTGAAAATTCTCATCACAAGAAAAACAGTGTTTGTAACTATATTTGGCAATGGACATTGATTAAATTTATTGTAGTAATTATTTTGCTATTTACATGTATATCAAATCATTATGTTGCACATCTTAAAACAATGTCCCTAGTGTTTGCTTTGGCAGAAAGTATACTAAAATTGGAGTGATACAGAGAAGATTAGCAAGGCTGACACACAAATTCATGAAGCATTCCATATTGAAAAAAGAAATTTCAAGACATTGTCAGGTGACCCCTGGGAGCAGACCATCCCAGGGTGACAACCAGCACCTGATGATATTTAACAAGCTCTTGATTTCCCTGGTCGAGACTTTGTTTCTTCATCTATGTTGTAATGTGATTAATAACCCCTGCCTACTCCACAGGAGATAATATAAGTGGAAATGCTTTGTGTATTTTAAAGTACTGTGCACAAATAAGAGGTGGGGTTAAGTGAGCAGAAGTTGGTGTTGTACTCTGCGTATTTCATGGCAGAATAGGAAGCTAAAAATGTCAGGTCACAGTGATGGTCACAAACCCTGTGACTTATAGATGGCCCTCTCCAGACCTTTTAAGTCCAAACAGGGTAGGTGGTGGTGGTGGGAGGGATGGTGGGTACATTTCAGGAGATATGAGCAGGATTTGCTCGATGATGTGTTTCTTACCAGGCAGTGCTGAGATCACAAGGCAGCTGCAATGATGCACGGTTCCTTTGGGAGGCATGTGACATTCCTCAGAATGACTTTAGCTTTTCTTACTATGCTATGTATTTAGCATGTGGGCATGCCTGGATTTTGGCCAACAAACAGATCTTTGGTGTACTTCTCCCTGTTCTATTTAGTTCCGATTGAACATGTATCTTGTTGTCTCTTATGTGCATGCACTGTGCTGAATACTTTCAAATACATTCTCTTTTATTCCTTTTATAATCTCATAAATGCCTTTACTTGTGCAATGGGAATTTCAGCAGCTCTAGTAATAGTAATAGAAGCAGCAATAGTGGAATCATGGAGTTTTTAACGTGTGCCTGGCATTGAGCTAAGTGCTTTATCTGTATATTAAATCCTTCAATCCTAGCAACATTTTATGGAATGGGTATTATTACCATACATTTTATGATTGAGGTAAGTGAGTTGCAGTAAGACTGAATAACCCATTCATTCAACTAGTAAGTGAGTGAATAGTGACTAGATTCTGTAAGTGGTAGACCCTGAATTTGAATCTAGGCAATTTGTTTTTAGAAGCCTACTCTCTCAGAAAACAGGGTAAAAGGATTAGATAATTTGTACAAATTCATGGAGCTAACAAGAGGCAGAACTGGGATGAAAACCTAGTATATGACTCCAATCCATTGCTGTTTCCAAGCACATTTCTCATTCACTAGTTCTCTCTGCCTCCTGCAAGATACGATTGCTTTTATTATAAAGACAACACCAGGAGTCTGTTAAAAGATTCTTCATGAATTCAAGATGTAATGATAAAAAAAAAAAAAAGATAGAAAGGGGCAGAAAGGAGTTTCGAAATCACTCTGGTGGTGCACTTCTTACTCAGACTTCTGTTTGAATATTTATTTTTAAATCTGGTTTCTGTAGAATACTGCTACTTTTAGTTGAGTACTTTTGTTTTGAATGGTAGTTTCTGAATTTAAAGGCTTAATATTTCTTTTATTATGATAGCTCTGATTATCTCTGTTGGGGTAGATCAGAAAGGACTAGCACCTGGACCTAGACTTACCCTTGGGGTAGGCAGGTACTGGTGAGAAAGAGGTAACTTAGGGAAATTAAACTCTTGTACATAGTTATTAAGTTTCTTAGAGTTGTTGTTACAAAGTACTGCAAGATGGTGCCTCAAAACAACCGAAATTTATTCTTAGGAAGCTAGTATTCCAAAATCAAGGTGTTGGTAGGGCCACACTCTTGCTGAAGGCTTAGGTGAGAATTCTTTGCCTCATTCAGTCAATAGTTTCTGGTATATGTGTTTTTTGTTTTTTTTTTTCTTCTTTAGTTTCTGGTGTTTGCTAGCAACCCATGAAATTCCTTGGATGATAGTTGTATCGCTTTCATTTTCTGCTTCTGTCTGCAAATGACTTTCTCCATTATGTGTTTATGTCTATGTCCAAATTTTCCTCTGCTGGTATGAATACTAGTCATATTAAATTTAGGTTTATCCTAATCCAGTATGACCTCATCTTAACTTGACTACATTTTCAAAACACCCATTTCCAAATAAGGATGTGTTTACCTGTCCAGGTCGCCACGAAATTGCAGGTGGGTTCTTATTGACCATTTGATAAAGAGAATAAGCAGCAAATGAGTGCAGACATTCAGCATGAGGAGAAGCCCACTGGAGACATGTTCTGACCAGTGAGCAAAACATGACAAGACACTCTGAAACAGATTGTGAATGGAGATGCAGGTAGGTTAGAGCTTTGATCATTATAACCAGTTTGCAAAGTCCTTACTCCAGGCTGCTGTCTACTTCCTCTGGGAACCTGGCAAGAGCAAGCTTTAATGTTTGAGAGACCAGGTAAATTGTCAGTTTGCCTAGGTGAATACAAGTCAGGTTTTCGAGGATTTGAACTCCATGGGGCCTTGGTCTCAGGAATAAGGAAAAGCTTAAATATGAGGTTGGGGCCAATTAGGTCAGGACTAGACCTCCACTGGCTGTGACTTACTGCTAAGGCCTAGAGAGTTGGCTGTGACTTACTGCTAAGGCCTAGAGAGTTGGCTGAAGCACTGAAAATCCCTCTCCCCTAGGGTTAAGCTTGGAGCCCAGGCAGCCCTATTCTTCAGTTTGGCATCTCATCCTTACTGGATGAGATAGTAAGGAGAAGGGAGCCAGGGCCTCATCACTATATTTCAAAGTGGACTTTGTCGTTCTTGACATTGGTAAGGTGTAAATGTGAGTGGACTCTGGGTAATATTGAGCACTTTAGGTAAAGGAGAATGAAAAATTTAATAAAATTAGATGTCATTTGTAAAATGAAAGGTCTTACCCTTTCTAGAAAAAGACTGCTTTCCTGAGAGACGAAGTCAGTAGTTGAGCGATTTTAACGTCTCTACACCCTTTTATTTTTTATTTAATATAATAGTTTATTTTTACATCATTTTGTACCTTTTTCCATCTCAGTTGTAATCCCCGTGGGCTTCCCATCACCAAATCACCATTGTACCATCACCATAGTCCAGTGCACTTCCCCCCCACCCCCACCCCATTTTTATTCCATTCCCCACTCCACTCCGGTAAAATGTCTCTGGTATATAGTTGT